TCTGACCGCAAAGGAATAATTACGTATGTACATAAGTTGAAAATACGAATCACGTTTAAGCTTAGAATCATTTCAGGCCTTAGTACGTTCTTTCATGTTACTTAAAGATTGACATCATTGATTAAATTAAACACTTTGAAGCGTCTTCATAAAAAGCTGTGAGTCGTTGTACTATAAAAAAATCCTTAAAATCATTCATACCTTAAAAATCTCCTCGAAATGAGTAATACCATATATTTCATTAAAAAAGCGCCTACCTTGCGTCAAGCTCATGAGTCTCATATCCTCTCTAACTATGAGATACATGTATTTCATAATGTTGAATAATTATTTCTCACTTAGAAACTATTGTTGCACAAAACTGCTACTGATGCTTACGAGATCGAGAAGCATGACGGGGCAGTCGGTGATCATTCTCAAACTTATCCATATTTTCCAATTTTCATGAGAAAGATAATTTTTATTCAGCCAGCGCTCAAAGTCACATCCATCACTGTATAACCCTTTACTTAGCGATGAACCGCAGTCTTTCATTTTCAAAATCCTCTAAGGTGAAATTTCCACTTGCAAGGCATGTTCGTATTATAAAGAGGTATAATTTCACTGTGTTCCTTTCTGTATACAGCCTTTTAGTTCCTAATTATCTTCCATAGGTATACTTTACTGTTGGCTTGCTTATTAAGGCGACGTACATACATCCATTTTGTAGCAAATTAATGCACAAAACCTGAAAATAAACGAACACTTAGGCAAAAGCGTCATTATTCTAATTATATCCACGACGTACACTGTCTGACACAGAAACTTGAACATCCTGCCCAACAGTATATAGGATACCGCTGCAAATTTCTTATCTTCATGTTTCGATGGACGGTGTAGCAATTTAATAATTGATAGGCCATGTAGTCACTGTGTTGTAAAAATTGAAACAAGAATACAATGCAAAAAACTAAATGATACAGAAATGTTTTTCAAGGCCAACTAGGGTCCCATAATTGGGTCGAATGGAAATACTTACCCAGCTGATTCAGACTGCCATAGTTTGCAATGAACAATAGTACTGCTTTCCATCTTAAAATATGAGCTTTCCAAAAATGTTATCTTTGAATTATTACTATACAGTGTGTTGAGGCCACATATAACACGTTTTATAGGAACTTGTGATATTTTCTTGTGTTCCATATTAAAGAATTACCATATAACTTTGGAGCACCCTGTATAAGCGAACATCATATATGTCATACATACAGATGCTACAATAACTAGTGGTCTCTTTGATTTTGGTGTCACCAACTATTTGAAAACTATCCTACCAATTACCAAGTTCACTCGTAGGATTTTTTCCCAGGAGTACAAACATATGAGTGTGCTCTTTATGGACAGCGGAAGAAGAGGGAGGTCAAACAATAAAGATCCTGCTAGAAGTACATACTATAATTTATAAACAAATGTGCTTTCTCGTAGCTGCTACATTGTTATATTAAATCGTACTACTTTTAGTCTGATGTTCTGTTGAGAAAAATAGCACTGAAAGACAAAATACGTTGATAGAGCTCCATGATCTTCTGGCCAACTGAAAGTATTATTAATTTATTTGGTTTCCGAAACGTCAGTAAAAGTATTTAATATATACAGGGTGTTCGCTTGAAAACTTTCCACCACAAATTTATTAATAACCACCGATTAAAAGAAAGAACGCCGAGACACGTCAAAAGATTTGTCAAGGGGGACAAATTTCCAACCAAAAACAACTTCACCCCTCCCAGGGTCATTACCTTAGAAATTTTAAATGGAAAGGGGTATTGTTTGAAGGGTCTTTCGAAGTACTTTATTTTGACGTTTGATTTTTATTTCAAAGTGCTTAAAATGTTGTTCGTTAGGATTTGCCAAATCTACAATTCGTTTATAATTTAAAACGGAAACTACCAACATAAACAGCAATTCCAAAGATTAGACGTTGCAACAACCAAATAACAACCCGAATTTGCCGCATTCTTTCTATTAACACAGATATCCTTGGCGAACTGTATTTATTGTTATACATGTCTAGTTATTTGTTGCTAAGGGAAATAAATAAATTTAATTTGCTGTCAGTGTTACCTTTTTGACAATCTTGGGATAGTGAAAATTAATTTATTTATTCAAATTTCACTTTTAAAATGGTTTACACATTAGCCGAAAGATTGGAAATGATTCTAATTTATGGTACCCAAAATCAATGTGCTCGGTGAACTGTCGTCACGCTTAACGCCAGACATCCGGGGAATATAACTTCGCATAGGTATGTTTTGCACCTAGTTACTAAATTCACCCAAACTGGATCTGTTGCAAATAAAAAACGTGATCAACAGAGAGTTTTGGATGAAGCCGCTCAAGTTGAAGTTTTGGGTAATTTTGAAATAAATCCTTACGCAAAATTGTTGCTGCGACTGGTATTTCATTAGGCTCTGTACACACAGATACTAAACTCCATAAATTGCATTCATTAAAAAAGAAAATATTGCAAGAGTTAACCGAAGATGATTTCGATAGGCGAAGATGAGTTTTTTGAACAAATTACTGCAGCGATTCATGATAATTCCATTCATATAAAGAATACCTGCTTCAGTGATGAATGAACATTTTATCTAAATGGATTTGTTAATAAGCATAGCTGCAGGTATTGGAGCAATGAAAATCCTCATGCTTTTGTAGAAGGGCATACCCAGTGCCCCCAGAAAAAATAATGTATGAGCAAGTATCTTAGGAAACAAAGCGATTGGGCCATTGTTTATTAATAGAAATTTGAATAGAGACATTTATTTGGATATAGTGGAAAGTACCATCAATCCGCTTATCACTGAAACCATTGAACACCAAATCGAAGAGAATGGAAACCCTATACTTGATGAGGATGAAATATATTTCCAGCTAGACGGCGCTCCTCCTCACTATGTTCTTCCGGTTCGGTAATGGCTAGACGTCGAGTTTCCAAATAAATTGATAGGGCGTAGAAGGCCTATAGAATGGCTTGCCAGATCTCCTGATTTGACGCCATTAGACTTTTTTCTATAGGGCCTTCGAAATCTATTGTACTTACTCCCCAACCTGAAAGTTCGGATGAACTTGTCAACCTGATATCCCACAACATGTTTTTGAAAATGTCCGTCAGAAATTTAAACATCGCCTATATCATTGTCTGGCCATTAGCGGACAACATTTTGAACACTTACTGACATAAAAAGTGATATTTTCGTGTGTTTTTGTTTTTTATTTGAACAAATTAAGATAAATAAAGATTTTTTAATTTTCTTGAAAACGAATCGACCGATTTCAAAAAATCAAACGTCAAAATAAAGGACCTTAGAAGACCTACCAAAGAAGCTATTAGTCGATACTCCTTGTCATTTCAGATTTTCAAGGGGATGACCCTGGGGCAGAGGGTGAAAGGGGTGAAGTAGTTTTTGATTAAAAAGTTGACCCTCTTGACAAAGCTTTTGACGTGTCTCGACGTTTTTCCTTTCATTGGTTTCCGATAAATCCGTGGTGGGAAGTTTTCCAATGAACAACCGGTATATTTTTGTTGCCAGAAGGTCATGGTGTTATATCGATACGAAAGCCTCAGATTACGTTTTAATGCGTGATCTACTTTCTTTTTCTGGATGTCGCGAAAGCCTTTGACAAGGTGTGGCACGCAGGCCTCCTCTATAAACTTATTCAAAAACGGTTTTCCTTTTTGGCTATTAAAACTACTCAAATCCTCCCTAGAAGGAAGGAAATTCAGATTAAAAATTAACAGTGAATATTCTACAACACGGTCCGGAGTTCCGCAGGGATCGGTCTTAGGACCACTCTTATACTCGATTTTCATTCACGACGCCCAGCAACTGCGAAGTCTACCTCTTTGCCGACGTCACCGCATTAGTAGCTCAATCATGTTCTAGTGACATAGTCCATGACAGGCTGCAAGAAGCGGTGGACGAGGTTTTAGAGTGGGCGAATCGGTGGCTGATCAAAATTAATTTTTCAAAGACCCAAGCTATCTATTTTACAAAAAAGCGCCGTGGTGCCCGGTCAGAGATTACTGATTCCGATACCATGGGCTAACAAAGCCAAATAGTTAGGTCTTACACTCGACAAGGGTATGACTTAGTAGTCACACATTGAACAAGTAAAAATTAAATTCCAAATTACAGTTCTGCTCTTTTATCAAAATTGAGTTTGGTCAATAAGATTCGGATATACCATCATCAGACCTGCATCAACCTACGCATGTGCGGCTTGGTGCTTTTCAGCTAAGTCACATATGCGTAAACTACAAGTTCTGCATAGTAGAACTCTCAGAACAAGTGCCCATTGGTATGTTACAAACGATACCACCCATAGAGATCTTGACATCCCCTACCTTAGGGATTATATCATAGGCACAACGACGCTACCAGCAAGCGGAATCGCACAGCAACATTTTGTTGCGTGAAGCAGTTGATTACACAGTCGAGGAGATACCAAACATTCCAGGCCAGTCCTTTAAAAATTATAGCTTTTAAAAACCAGAGACCCAAAATTCAGTTCAGGACAAGCCAAAAATTTATATAGTACAATGTAACAGTTCTTAGATCTATCACACCTCAAATCCTTACATAAAACAATTCCTTTTCTTTCACTTCTCGCTCCTACTTCCTTCCTTTCTTTCTCCCTCTCCCCTTTCCCCTACAACTTGTCTGGTTTCTGGGCCACCAGACCTGACGGCCTGACGACAGACACTGACATTACAGTGGCTATGACCTTAAGGCTAAGGTCCTCCGGACCGCCTTGAGAAGCAATGGCGAGTAGTTGATCTACTTCCGTGAACCTGTCACAATGACAGTGACGGAAGTCCTACCAAACTCACCCTACTAATCTTGACAGACTTCCGTCCCTGGAACCTGTGGAAATATTCAAACAAATGTCATAAAACTGACCGTATAAATGCCAAAATTTGTACTGCAAAATTGGGCGTTCCTCCATGTAGTGTCAGTGGGCTGTCGTTTTGTTTTTGTGTTTTGTGGTTTGTCCCTGCATTTTTATGTCTTGCAGTGTAGGTACGTGTTCAAGCAGCAAAATATGGTGTTGCCATAGCACCTGGTCGACACTGAAAATTACAAATCATGAAATATTAATATCCCAGATGATGCGTAATTTAAAATCATCACGTTTAATTGCGTATTCAGTGGTTAAGCTTCACTTTTCGAATTAATTATTTATTCAATCTGCATATCATCAAGATGGACGCCATCCTTTGGAAAAAGAAAGGTATGCGGTCATGTGGTGGATCAGGTATAAGGCACAGGTGTAAAATCAAAGAGTGAGGGGGTCTTGGATAGGTTCAAACAGGATGCGTCGGCCCTGATTATTATTCTACGTTTAATGGACTTTCTTTAGCTCATCCTTTAATTGTCCGTTGATTTCAGAGGGTAATAAATAAGAAACTTCACCGAGATATCTATATTATAAGAAAACTAATTTGTTTTAAATTTCGACTGTCACTGCGGTCAAGATGGTTCACTGTGGAGCTCCAATTTTCAATGACGCGTCGGAGCTTTTACGCGATATTTATAGACCGTTAACGCCTCAATTTCACGCCTGAGATCCATCCAAACTTATAATATTTATAACATTTGGTTGGTGTAAATAGTGTAATGTCACATCTCTAGTCATTTTGCTTCAGCCGCCTTTCCAACTTCCTGTTGGGTATCTCGATCCCCCCCCTCCTCCTGCTCCTTATTCCTCAAATATTGTTCGGAGATCCTAATTCCAAAATGGAACACATTGACTCACTAAAGCCAACATTTGTAAAAATTATTTTCTGAAAACTAACGTTATTAGGTATATTTGGCTTAAAATTCCTATTCCTAGCTCTAACTGTAGGGAATTTCTAAATTATTTTGAAGACATTTTGATTGACCTCAGTACTGAGTGTAACCAAATTGTATGTTATTCATTTCTGTCTCCAACTTATGTACAGTTGTTATTGTTTTGTTTGTCTGTATGTGTATAGCGAATTGTATTATACATATATTTTTCTTAGCGATCTTCTTTTATCTCATGACATTTTTGTATGGTTTTTTTTTCAATTTGCTTTTGGTAATTATGTTACGCAGCATTGCATTGTTTTTAACTTGTTTTATTCATGTTTGATGTAGATTTTTCTAAGCGTTCGATGAGTATATATTGACTTGTGTAAACACTTTCTGTGTATTAACATCAATAAATTATTATTATTATTATTATTATTATTATTATGTTTGGGCGATTTCAGCATAAATGTATTGGATATCGATTCTTCAAATGTCACCCAATTAAATGTTATTTTAAATACCTTTAATTTAATATGCTGTAATCCCGAGATTAAGGATGTGGGCGTTCGGGATCCCAATGTTTCAGATCACCTTCTTGTTTATGTAGATTTGCGTATAACAGCTATCGAGCCGCTTAATCTTTGTTATAAATTTACGGCTTTACATCGAATAAATCTAGCTCGGTTTCAGACTTACATTGAGTCGGCGCCTTGGGACAACATATGTCAAATAGATAACATCGATCATAAGGTATCATTTTTAAGAGACACTATATTGAATATTTTCGATTCCCATGCACCCCTAAAAGACTGGAATGGTCGAAAAATACCCTACAGTCCATGAATCACAGATAACGTTAAGTTTACGAAAATGATTCGAAATGAAGCTCTCGTTTTAGACGAACGCACCAACCTGGTCATCGAGACTATTATAAACAATTAAGAAACCGGACCATTTCTGCTATTAGAGTCGAAGAAAAGGCATATCTAAATTTAGGTTTCAGAATTGCCCAGAAACTAAAAAAACTAAATCTACTTAGAAATAAAAATAAATACATCCCTGACCATTTAAGGAATGAACTTATTACCTACTTTGATCAAATACGAGTATCACAAAATAATAATCCACAACAAGAATTGTTGCATTTCAATAACAATAACTCCTAGATTAATGAAACCTTCTCATTTAACCTAATCGATGAAGATTTTGTTTTAAATAGCATCCTCAGTATCAAGACAAAGGCTTTTGGTGCTGATAGCCTGAACGTTACCCTGACTTCCTTGTGTTGCCCTTTTATAGCTCCTTATATGACCCATATTATAAATAGTATTAAAAGGTCTTATTTTCCTTCCCTTGGCTAGGGTTAACAATCCGACAGAATTTGGTCAACTACGTTCAATCTCGCTTTTACCGACCCTCTCTAAACTTTTGGAAAAGGTAATCGCTATACAGGTTGCTACGTTTTTGCCAACAATATCATCCCCCCTAGACAGTCAGGGTTTAGAACCGGGTACAGTTATTCCACAGCATTAACAGATCTTCTGGATGATGTCATCAGAGAACAGGATGCGGGAAATGCTACTGTCTTGGTGTTATTGGTCTACACCAAAGCATTTGACATGATTAATCATGGGATACTAGTGGCTATTCTGAAATATATTGGATTAGAGCAGCCAGCCTATGCATTAATAAAAATATCAGATACAGTTACAATTACATCAGGGGTGCCCCAGCGCAGTATTTTGGGTCCATTATATACTTTTAATTTCATGAAGTCGCTAAGCTATTGTTATGCTGACGACACTCAAATTTATGCCTCTTTTTAATCTGATCTGTCAGAACTTATAACAAACCGACTGAATACCGACTTGAATAGCCTTCTCAAAACCTCTGAAGATCACTTATTAAAGATAAACCCTAGTAAATCGACGGCTATATTGTTTTGTAGTGATTCCTACAGAAACGTATTAGAAAATACTTAATATTAAGCTCAAACTAGGGAACAATATACGTATAATATCATTTAGGGATTCCGTGAAGGATGTGGGTTTAGTAGTTGACTCTAAACCTAAGTTTAGAGAGCACATTACCTTGTGCCTAAGAAAAGCATATTCCATGTTAAAAATAAGTTACCTATCACAAACTACTAAAGCCACGCTCTGCGAAGCTTGGTGTTGTCCCACTTCAACTTTGCTGATATGGTATATGGCCCATTTCTTGATAGTGCGGAACAAAAACGGGTTCAAAAAGCTAAGAGTTCTTGTCCGAGACTGATATTTGGCATAAGGGGTAGACCAAGAGTATCCCACAAACTACCTGAACTGGGATGGTTGAATTTGGCTCAGAGGCGTACCTTGCACTCTACTTTTTTTACAAGATTATAAAATATAAAAGGCCTCCTTATCTTCACTTAGAAATTAGTTACCGGACTGATGTACATAATCTAAACATTCGAAGATTGAATTTGATTACAATACTATCACACAATAAAGAATCATTTAAGAAATCATTCTCATATCAAATTGCCTTTTTGTTAAATAACTTGAAAATTAAAGATTTTTCTCTCTCGGTAGCTACATTTAAGAGGAACCTTAAAAGTGATTTACTGTCTCAGATATCATAGAAAACATATCTCCCGCTCCCCCTTTTCTCTTCTTCTGTTTCCCCTCGCTTTCTCTGCTCACTCAAAATTTCCATTTCTCTACGTACTATACTTCGCTATATTTCTTTATATCAAAAAATTATTAATTATCAATGTCTTAATAGCCATTTGCATTATTATAGAATTGTTTAAATTTGTTTGTTTTCTGTTTGGCTCTAGCAGCTGCTTCTTTAAGGGGCAAGCTGATGTAGCCCTTTATTCTCTTAAGGCTTTTTGTTTGTAAACTTTTATATACTGTTTAATGAGGGTAATAAATATTATTATCATTATTATTATTGCGTATGTGCTTCTAAACCCCCATAATTCTACACATCTATTAGACATATGTCAGATATAGATTTTCTAATACAATTGCCCTTGAGACTTAAAAATGTTTTCAATACCTGCTCCGAGTACAACCAAGATAAAAGGTAAAGCTGTCCTGACATGGCCGCTATCGCTAGCAAGGTTGCGATTCTATAATACGTACAAATATCGAATGTAAGGGATGATCTTGTGCCTTTAACGCTACAGATACTGGAAGCCAACGGTGTTAGTCGTAATGGATAAATATTAGTAAACACTGGTTAACTAACAATGTTGCTGTGGTGTGGATGGCAACGATGTATGCTGCAGCTTACTTTTTCCTCTTGCCGATTGACATGAGAATTGTAGAGTCAACCTACTTGACACTATTTTTTATTTACTGATAAATATGACCCAATACAGTTAACTGCTTTTGTTTCTATGCTTTTGAAAATAGTACTATTAAATTGAGTCCCTCATGACAAAACCTAGTGAAAGGCTTGATCTGAAATACTGCTCTCACCTCTAGCAAATTCCTATTAAACTGTCAATGTCTGACACGATTCAAGACTCTCTTGTCAGTGGATGAGTTTTGCGAACGTAGTTAATGACTGACCTATTTATCTCTCACACTTACTCATTACAAAACAGGTGTAATCTATACTCGATTGACTAGTAGCCTCTAGATTTTTTCAAGTATTTCTGACACTACTTCTGATATTAATGGGAATTATAATTAATAGTGGCAAACTCTTGATATTCCAAATCGCGCAACATCTTAAACATTCACAATTATTACAACAATGTTCAGTAAAACATCTAAAAAACTCGCTTTCAAAATAAAGATCGTTTTGTAAAGTATGTATAATTACGCTGATTTAAATTTTCTTATAGCTACGTACATAACATAACATATTCGTTCAGTTTTTGTAGCACAAAATATATGGCCTCTTGCCGGTATGTACTTTAAAAAGCTGCCAATAAATTCTGAAGAGAAAAGAGTTCAAGTAGAGACATTATTTTGTAGCCTGCGAAGGTTGCTGTGTGTCCATACCAGTTTAGGCAATTTCCAGTGAACTCTCTCTCTCTCGGACATGTCGTGAAATTAAATGTATAAGCCCGATTTTTATATAAATAATGCAAAGTGGTACTTGAGGACATTAAATATTTCGGTTTTGTGTAAATATTCATGCTGTAGGGTGGAAAGGCCTACAAGAATATTTATGACGGCAATTGCTTGCCTTGAAAATCGTTCCTGGAAATAAATCAGAAACAGCGTACGCTTGAGAAATTGGCTCTAAAATCGGTCAATCAAAAATCCATTCAAAATTTACATCATTGCACAGA